CCCTGGAGAGGAAATCGCCATATAATTAAGGCTTAGGTGTGGTTGACAGACAGTAATGTTCTTGTATGTTGGCAAATGAATTAGTCATGCTTTTGCCCAAGCTCCTTTACCGGTGAAAAGTAACAGAAAACACAGAAATAACTAACTAGAAGAGAATACAACTTAAAGCTAAAACTATATATTTTTGGAACAGAAATAACTGTATCAGGTCACAACTAAAATGTTCAATAATTCCATAATGTGTCATCATTACCAAAGTCAAAGATTTAATGAGTGTTACTGAGATATATAGGGCTCTGTTCTACACACTTATTCACCTGCCTCAAGGCTCTCTTCTAACTGGGGTGATAATTACTGATGCCAAGTCATGTGCAAAGAAAGTGCATGAAAGACCTGGATAACGCATGCTCCTGGAATTTATGTGTCTTGTAGAGATTGCAGTAACCTTTCATAACAGGAAAGTTTCTGTGCCAAGACTTTATAGAAACTCATCCCTGAAAGAGCTGTCAGGTTTGGTGGCTGAGTGTGAATCAACCAGGTGTACAGAATAGGCATTTTCACCAAGCACAGTTAACATATTCATTAGTCATTCAAAGAAAAGAGCCTAAAGTATGCCAGGCACTAATGCTAGAGGCTGGGATACTACAGTTAACAAGTCAGAAAAGGTTCCTGCCCCCACGAAACTCATATTCTAGTGTGTGAGCCAATCAACAGCAATAATTATTTGTCATAATTATTAGTTTGTCATAAGTTGCAAAGCCGATGGTTCATTCCGATTCTGGAAGGGGAATAGTTATAGGAAGGCTGCTTCTGCTTGGTGATCAAAGAGGGTCCCTATGGAGAGCTGACAGGAGGAGGTTAACTATGGAGGTTGACTGAGACTTGGAGGAGGAGAAGATGCCATCAATATAAAGAGTCAGTGGATAGGGGAAAGGCCTAGTATGTGTGGTTAGGCAAAGACAGACGAGGTCAAAGAAGAGTATGAATGACACATGAGGAAGGCATGATTTGTCACCATCATCAGCTGAGCAACCAGAATGCGGTGAATGGAATGACAAGTCATAATGCAGCTGAAAAAAGGATGCTGAACTTCACATGTGACAGAGGGAGGCTCATGCTGACTGTGTCTTCTTACTTGCCACCCACTTTGGTGTCTCTGTCCTCCTCCCTCGCCCATTCCTGGCTCTGATGGCCACCACATCTACTGGAATCTCTTTTCTCTGTTTTTACTTTACTTTTCCAGTGCTCATGGCTTCATTTCTCAAATCGATTATAAAGTTCCTTGAAGGTGGACTACATGTAATATTTGTCTATTTCTCAGAGCACCTACTTGCCTGGTGTGTAGTAGATGCACACTTAATATTTGTTCAAATGAATGAATAAGGTGATAGAGACAGGATGTGAAGGTCAAGAATAAGTGTGACCATTGTTAGTGGCACCAGTTTTGGGATTAGTCTAAAGTGGTTGACACAGACAGTGTTTTCAGCAAGAGTACTGTCACCCAACCCACAGTTAGGTGGTCAAAGCTAGTAGAAGTAATAATAGAAATAGCAGTTATTCTCATTTCTCTTAAGTAAATTTAAATGTTAGAATAACTGTTTCTTAGAAACCTCTCAGGTTTCCTCTTTTTCTTGACTGCGATTATAGGTGAACTAATTTCTTTTAGAATAAAGATTCACATAAATTTCAGTTTGGAGACATATTTGCAGAGTACTCTGGACATAGAGGAATGGGTCAATCACTTCAGCTTCCTCCAGGCATGAGTAATTACAGAATAGTCTTCATCCAATATGTCATCTAGCCAAAGGTTTTCCAAAACATAGACAAGAACAAAACAAAGCAAAACCAAACACATAACAACAAAAACCAAAGGACATGATTCAGTCATTGCCTTAAGCAAACAATTATTAAAAGTTTTCTATTGGGCTAGATACCGAAAATATAAAAACAATCCGAAAAACCCACAGTGCTGGATTTGAAAGAGATCTTAGTTGCCTAGTCCAACCTATAATTTTTCCAGTAAGAACACTAAGGCCAAACATCACATATTTGGTCAGCAATCCTGCTGAATTAGGATCTGAACCTCCTGATTGCCAATCTAACACCCTAATTGCCAATTTCCACAATTGCTCCATAACAGAATTTAAAGCAAAATAGAAGGAAATGTGTATATACCTAGTTGTTATCATTTTTAAAAAACATGTATTGTTTATGTCTTAAAGCAACCCCATTTTACAGATAAGAAAGTTGAAATCCAGAGATGTTACAGTGTGATACATTTCTCAGAATATGTCAAGCTTTAAACCACCCTTCACACTTTGGCTTTTCTAATTCTTGAAAGAGAATTTTAATTTCCTTTCACTTAAACATTGTTTAAAGATACCAGGCTTCTTATGTTGACCATTTTGGCATATTTTAGTCTTTATATTAGTTTGATGTCAGAGGCCAGAGTAACACCTGAGAGGGGCTTTAATCTCCTCTTTAGCCCTCTTCATTTACTCTATACAGTGTTAACAGAGTTATCCTTGGCTCCATCTTTATTGTGATGAAAAGCTAATTCTCTGTTCTCTGTGACTTTCTCTGCTATAGGCATCTGTCCTTTTAACTTGAGATGAAAAAGCATAAGGAAAGACTAGTCATGCTTCTATTCTCAAGTGTTCAAGCCTCATAACTGTCTTTTTATCCAAGTGAAAGAGCCTTGTTCCACCACTACTGTCCTTTCAAGAGCTGAGCTGACTCATTAATCATGTACATCTCCTTCATTACTATCTGCTGCCAGCTATGTTTGTTTGTTTGTTTTTTTAAAAAATGTATTTTTTACCATATTTTTCTTGAGGACATTAAAATTTATTACCCAAAAAATGAATCATTAAAAAAAATGACTTATAGCGGTTGCCTCCCATGGAGACACCAATTTCCACTGCTAACGTTAAGACTGATGTTGTGTCTTTTACAAAATAACAACAAGTCTTACTACAAAGGGAAAATGCTACCCAAAGAAGACAGGAGCTTATAACTCCTCTAGAGCTTTGTTTGTAATCCTACTGAAATACACGGCACTTCCAAGGGGACCACACACCTGGAATACTGCAAGTTTAGAAACCTTTTAAAATCTCCATCAGAACTCACTCTTTCCCCAGAATTCGCTTTCCTTGGTTTCTTTTTATCCCTTTGGAATTCACCAAAATGCTCAGACATTTAGAAAAAAAAAGTCACTGAATAAATATTGAGTAGTATGACCCAACTTTTGTGTTTTTAGACATGTGGCAACCAAATTAGTCAACCCGAGGCAAACAGGCTGCGAAATCATTGAATTTTCATAGCCTGGGTTTAGCCCTTGGTTGTCTTCTTCCTTTCTCCTGTATTTTTTCTTTTTTTAAACTTGTTTCTAGTGAGATTACTTGTTAAAGGAGAAGGTTGCTGTCTTTGAGTCTTAGAATCTGCCTGCTTTCTGAAAGTTTCTTTTCAAAATTTTAATTGAGAAAGGAAAATTGATTGCCTTGTTAGAAAGCCAGGAATTGACTAGCAGTAGAAAAGTGACCCAAACTGCACTGATTTCCATGTGCAATTTTGGGTCTATTGTCATGTTTCAGTTCTTTTTTAATTTATAAAGTTTTTACTCATTTTTCATGCTCCCTAGACCTCAACTATGCCCTCCATCAAACCTAACTAAGCCAGATCAACATATTTGAATGTTTTTCTCACTATCTCCCCAGTTATGCTGTGATAGAGATCTTAGTGAATAGTTAGATACGAACAAACAGTAAGCAGAAGAAAAAAGGAAGAACAGCAGTGGTAGCTGTTAAAATCCACCACTTACAAAACAACTGCTATGTGCCAGGCTATCTGCCTGCTCTGTGTTCATTATATTTTCAAGTGACCCTAGGAAGTAGGTAGTCTTACTTCCATTTTATTGTTTTGAAAATTGAGGCTCAGAGAAGTGAAGTGTCTTACTCAAGGCCACACAGCTACTAAAGTAGCAGGGCCTATAGGAGAACACAGGTCATTCTGATTGCCAAGCCAGTGAACTTTCCTCTCTACTCCACTGCACTCCCTCCTGATTATAGTGTAGTTGGCTCTGAGTAAAACATTCTCATTTTCCACTATTTTCGACATCCAGAAATGAATTGAAAAATGAGTAAATAAGTGATTCATCCGTAGAGAATTGGGAGTAGGTTACATATCTGAAGCTGGAATTTTACGTCTTTATCGAAGAGAAGGTATTTTGTGCAGTAACTGAACTCCTATGATAATTCCAATATATGAATATTTTATGTCTGATTATTAATTTGTATTCACTGAGCATTGATAAGAGCTTCAGTTAAATACACACGTAAACTTTGTATTCTGAAGTTATAGTCTAAAATAGACCCAGAGTCACATGGAAAAATGATAGCATGGGGAAAATTGTCAATATAGTCCCAGAAGAAAGCTAGGGTTCCAATATAGGGCTGCATTGGAAGGCTTGCTTTGTATCGGATATCCTCAAGGTTCTGGTCAGGAATCCTTTCAGAAAAATGTCTTACGAGAGTTAAAGTAGATAAGATGATATGGATTGTGTTGATATTTTTGACTGCATGGAAATGTATTGGTCCTACACAGGTGAAAGCAAATATGTGAGATGAAGAAGTGAAAAGCAGTACAAACTGTATTATGATACCTCATATTCTCCAGTATTTTCTATTTCAAATGAGAGTTGGTTATATTCAGAGAGCTCAACTTTGAGCTGTATCTGCTTGAAACCACTGTAGCTTTACACAGAGCCATTGATCCATCTTTTGGGTGAAAACCATTCAAAATAACATTATTTCAAACTTCTTAGAGCATTTTATTCTCCAAAGAACATATATTCCCCCAAATGTTTAATGTGTTTTAATGCTATTTTCTAAGGTTTAAGACTCATACTTGACCAAAAATAAACCATGTCTATGCCAAGTTGACAGTAAAGGAAAAAATATACTCATCAAAAACCATCACGCAAAGTTCAGGTTCTGGCAGCCATGACCCTAAGGTGAGTAAGAGCTGTACAGTTGGGCATTTGTATTGGCTGAAACCTGGTCACTCTTGACAGTTGCTGGGATTCAGCAGTGGAGGATACCAGGTATGCTGCAGAGAAGATGCGGATGTGCTGCTGAACTTGGCTTTGGTCAGTGGGATGTGCTAACTCAGTCTACACTCATCCCGGTGAGGACCTATGTGCCATTTATCGGAGCACTTATTAAAAGGATGCTGTCCTAATTACAATTGGAGCTTAGTGTAACCAAAGAAACTCAAATGAATGCCATAGCTGTATTTCACTGCTTTTCATAAGCCTTGCAATAAAAGCTAAACAGTTTTTAGTGGCTTTTACAATTATACTTCCCTTCAATTTTCCAAAGGTTACAGGGCCTGAACCACACAAATCCCATTAAAGTAAGTAGTTGTGCAGTATAAGTTCCTTTGAAAACATTCTTCAATGCCCATAAAATGATCAGCAGGCTGCTCTTTAGATCTTCTTGCCTGCCATGTTTTCAGCCAAAAGGCAGATGACAAGCTTTGATGTGATGGTTGGTTTCTGCTACTGAAGCAGGCGTTTTATCTTCTTGCATCAGACTTCTTCTCAAATTGATGTGACTCAGGCATACGAAACACATTTTTTTCTTCAGATTTTATTCCTAAAATATGTTTTTGCTGTACCTTTAAATTACATTTGGCTGACTGAGTTTGGAATCTCAAGTGTCCCACAAGGTACAGAGCAGGGGAGGGTAAGGGCCTTTGGGAGTTAACTGGAGCCTGCACAGTGAGTGCAAACCTTAGTGAGGAGGAACAGCAGTGTGCTGCGTTCTCCTCACGCTTGAGGATGGCGCTCCTCCCTGTCTTCTCCACCCTCCCTTCAGTGCAACTTAAGCAGCCACGAGTGAAGTTCAGAGTGAATTTCAAGCTAGAGCCAAGGACAGAGCTATTGTTCTCTTTAACTTCTACTTGAAAGTGTGAGGGGTCTCCTCCCTAGAATTTACGGCTTTCTTTCCTAAAGAAGTGTTTGATAAGTATTCTAACATCCTGTTCCATAGGAAACACCATCCTCTTTAGCAGCTCTTCCCCCTGCGTGTTCCTGTTTGTTGAAATCATTCATTTATCTTAGATCTGCTTTTCTTGTAGGGAATAAAAAAGAAGGACCAGCTCCTTCATTTACGGAAGAGTCAGACCTACCCAGCTTTCTCCCATCTCTCTAAATCTGGTGGTGAACCTGTTTGAAAAAGAAACATGGTAAAAAGATTTTTTTCCTCCACAGGTAAAATTATCCAGGGACAGAAGATAATGTTAACCTAATTATTTACTATGCACTGTTAAAAATAATAATTGGAATCAGAAGTTATTCAGCCCTCCAAAACCTTACGTAAATCACCAAGGTTCTAATTTTCTGGGACTACTTCTATACCACAATACTACTATAACTCTTTCAAATTTTATTGTCATTTAATGTATCAAAAGACCTTATGTCTTTTATATAGGAATACTTCAGCGCAGCGAGGTGACAAAACATTTACATAAAAAGAAATGAACAATAATTTTTAAAAAGTATTTGATTATGTACTAAAATATGTTTAGGAATTTAGATATGGAGAAATCAATATGGATTGGCATTATCAGCAAAGTTTTATAGAGAAAGTAGGATTAAGATGTGTCATAGGAGACAGAGATTTTGAACTGTGTCCTAAAATGAAAGAAAGGGAAGTACTAATATGAATGTGAGGAGAAGATGGAAGGTGAGGGTTTACTACTGTGCTAAAGTAACCCTGCACACACTTAATTGATGAAGCAAGCACTTACAGAGGCCTTTGAAAAGTGAAATCCAAGGACATGTGGATCAAAGTTGCTGTCCTAGATGAGAATGGTTGCAGTTTTTTAATGGCTCTTCTGGCAGGAATAACAGCTTGTGATACACGTGGACCCTCTTCCTGAGACCCTCTTTATACAGCTAGTTTGGTTAAACCTACCTTTCCCATAAAATTTTTTCCTGGGGTAGTGGTTTTTTATTTATATCTGTGGTGAGTCATTGCCCCTCTCCTGCACAGGGTGTATATTGTCATTGGCACTTAAAAGTAGAGTGGAATTAGAAGTCCTGGCTTCCACACTACTATATATAAAATAGGTAACAAACAAGGACCTACTGTATAGCACAGGGAACTATACTCAATATTTTGTAAACCTATAAGGCAAAAGAATCTGAAAAAGAATAAATATATATTCTTTTATATATTTTATATATATATATATATAAAATATATATCCTGAATCACTTCACTGTTCACCTGAAACTAACACAACATTATAAATCAACTATACCTTAAATTAAAAAAAAAGAAGTCCTGGCTTCTAGCTCTGGCTCAGTCACAGCTTTTATTGTGATTTGAGGCAAATCACTTCATTCTTCTAAGCCTCATTTACCTCATCTGTAAAATAAAAGGGTTGAATTAGATAATTTCTCTGGTTTCATGTGGTGCCAATATTTTATGACTCATGAATCCAAGTGAAAATTAACCTGCTAATAAGATCATTTTTCTTATTTTTATTAGAAAGCATGGCAGTAACTGCATACTTACAATTTACTCAATCATTCATAACATACATAATCATCCATAAAATCTGTAAACACCTTGGATTTGAAACATGATTTTGATAAAAATGTATCCATGTACCCTGTGGTTATCCTGCAGTTTGGTGAATCCTACCCATTTCAGAATTCCAAAGAATTAGCTATGTCCTGATGGCCAATTGGCTGTCAGCATCCTTGGACAGCATCTTTCAAAATCAACCTTTACAGTAGCTGTTCTTACAAGAAAGATGATATTCCAGCAATGATAAAAATACACTACTTTCTCTACCCTGTATTCAACCAGAGTTCAGAATCTGATAACAGTCCTTATCCCAGGTGTTTCAAATACCCCACATTTGTAAACCCGTACGATGTTCACATTTTCTCTCATGCCGCTGATGAGATTGTACTGATCCTGTTCTGTGTTCTTGGGGGAAAGCAGGGAGCTCATAGTTGGTGATTAGTGAGCAAAGACAGACGAGCCGGAGGGCTGCCGCTCAAGCTGTCTCTGTTGCCCCCTCACTGTCTCTTTCTGTTATACTTGTGCTCTGAAGGACGTTTGCCAGATACACTCCTTGGACCCCTGTTATTTGTGTGTCTTTTCTCACCTTCAACATGATCTGGACTGGTGTTTTCATTTGTTAAAAACAACAAGAACATTCACTGGGAAACTTTTGCTGGAATCATTTCAGGTCATCATAGCTATTTATTCTCTGTCATAAACTATAATTCTCCATTTCCCTTGCTCCCACGTCAGGGGAGTTGGTGGTTTATGGTGGACAGGCAGTGGAATTTGAGTGAAGAGTGGAAGATTTCAAAGAACTACTGAAAGGCTATGGAGCAGGTTGTAGTACTAACAACAAAACATAAAAAATTCTTGTTCTCTATCATAGTTTGGCAGTACAAGAAGAAATGGGCTTACCAAACAGCGTAAAGGATTTATAATTTGTGGTTATACCTGAGAAAGCATTTTCTTTGAGGAAAGAAAGCAAATCATGGGATTGGCTTAACAAGGGATTTCCTTTATATGATTAAAATAGCCTAGGGTCTAATTGATCTCAGTCTAGGGTTGGTATGGAAGCTAAATATTTTTTGCAGACTTCTGTTTAATAGGAGCATGAAATACAGGTGTGGTGCTGTCAAAAGGCCTGAATGACTGAGAGAGACCTGAAGTGCAAGACATAGAACTGTAAAAAGATTTAGAAAAAGAATGGGAGCAACAGGAATGCCTTCAAATATTCAAATAGGAAGGAGCATACAAATGCAAGGCAACAGCTGAAAGATGTATGATCCTAGGTGTTTGAACTCTAGTGTTGACATTATTATAAACTAATTTTGCTAATAGCTAAATAGTGGTAAAATCAGGGTTGTTGGATGGAATATTCCAAGCGTTGATAGATCCCAGAAATCATGATAATTAAATTGGCTCCATTCTCAAGATGCCACTGATCTGACCTTCTTCTTGAGAGTGTCACAGAACTGCCTTCAAAGCAGGGCTCCTTGTTGAGGTACCACAGTGGAAGAAACTAGAGAGGTGGTCAACTCTGAACACAACCGTAAAGCTGAGAGAATGGGTGCCAGCAGCTTCTTAGCTGGGGGAATGTGGTTGAGATCATACGGCTTTTTTTTTTTTTTCCTACAGAAACAATTTTCTACAGACAGGAAAAGTTTCACATTTTCCCTGGACACAAATTCAACAAGCACTTACTATATCTAGGTGCTTTAACTATCAGGGAGGAATGAGCAGTCTCTCTTCTGAGCTCCAAGGGCACCCCTGATGAAGCAGCACTCACGAAGAAGGGGTCTCTCATCAAAAAGTCTTGGAGGCCTCAGTTAGGCACTGAGAGATCTGAGCTAGGAACTCCTAGATTTAAGCTGCACTTTGAATCCCCACCCAAATCTGGAACATGCCCTCAATTTGTAATAATACTACTATAGCTCAGGGGTGGGTCACTCTCCTCGGGGCATTAGAATTCATGTTAGTAATTTTTTGAGTATTTTGTGTGTTTATAGTCAGAGAGGATCAGGAGACTTTACATGTTGGAAAAAAATGGCTGAGAGCTACTTTCTGTTGAATGTGGAGCTAGCGGCCATGCTCCTCTTTCTCTCCATCCTCACACTCACCCCTCATATTTTTCTTTGAGCTGAGTGGGGAAAGTGATTGGAAGTGTGAGTTCAGTTCATCAGGCTGAGCATGTGACTTGGGCCTGAGCAGCTTGAGCTGTAAATCCCTGAGTGCTACACGGGCTCTGCAGTGGCTTGGGCGTCAGGGTGAGGGCTTGATGGTGGTGTTAGCACAACTGGTATTCCGCTCAGCTTCACACATCCATCATTCCTGTCTGGGCTGAAGGAGGGTGGCAGGACAGGAGCACACTACTCTCTGACTGCCACGGGCAACCTGGATGATCAGCTTGCCAGGGTGCCTTTGGGGGCACTCAGAGAAAACCAAGGAGGAATCTTGACAGGTGAAAACATGGGGAAATGATTCTCCAAAGGTTCCCAAGAGCTCAAAGCCTTAGAACTCAAATTTGGAGTGAAACTGTTTCAGAGATGTTTCAGGACTGTTCTTGAGTTCTTAGAGGGTGAGTCTCAGGTCAGTGTCAGCTTTTGGTGGTGTTATAGCACTAGCTCTGATCTAGGCTGAGGCCCCTGAAGCCTGCCTCAGCAACAGCATGGAGCCTTGAGCAAATACAGTTACGAGTTACTTGCTGTTTCCAGGAAAATGCATGGTAAAACAGAGATCCTTCTAATATTGTCTAAGACAAGTGAGGTACAAAGCAATCTACTCTCCTTCCCCCATCTCCAGAGAATATGGAGAGGAGTTAAATTTTCCTTTAGCCCTCTTTGACAAAACAGGCTTCAAAAAATATGTTTTTTTCAGCATACAAAAAATATCCCTCTGACAGTTCAGGTCTGGTCCCAGATTTAGAAGCAAAAACCAAGCATCAGAACTGCTGCGTGCTCTTGGCATATGAACTTGATTGCACCAATGCCTGCATTTGCACACTGAAAGTGGCATTTGGCTATAGCACTTTGATAAGCATGTGAGCCAAGGAAACAATCTCACTGTAGGTACACAGTAAAGAAGTGTAAACCGGGACCTCCAACGTGACTTTTTAGCTCCTTATCATCAATTTCTTCTATTCCAGATGATCAACTGAACTCAGAGGAAAAGAAAAAGAGAAAGCAGCGGAGGAACAGGACAACCTTCAACAGCAGTCAGCTGCAGGCTTTGGAGCGTGTCTTTGAGCGGACGCACTACCCGGATGCTTTTGTGCGAGAAGACCTCGCCCGCCGGGTGAACCTCACCGAGGCCAGAGTGCAGGTAACCGGAGTATTCCCCTCCTTAGAGGCACATCTCTGAAGACTGTTGAAAAACACAACTTGTAGGTTTCAGACCAGAGCTGATACTAAAAAGAATTATAAACGGACAGCATGAGAACAGAATCAGTTTCTAATTGTGTTTCTCTTGGCAGCAGAGTATTTTTAAAAATTGAAGTGAATGCCTTTCAGTAGGGCAGAAAATGCCTTGCTAGAGGTCTCATTCCTCCCAATGTTTCTCACCCTTCCAGATCCATGTTATAAACATTGTCCATTGGAGCATTTGACTTTGCACCCTCCCTCGTCCACACCCCAGCTTTCGACTTGAGCTGTAGGGTGGCTGGAGAGATGAACTCTCTGTCCTCCATCTCAGTTTTCCTCCCCAGACTTTGGGAATATCTGAATCTTCAGGAAATGTATTATAAATACACACAATTATGGACATGGATGGGAGTGAGAAATGAACACACCAAAGACCTTGCCCATAGGAACTGCATTAAGAGCACATTCAAATAGATGATTTTGTGTTTCTGTGAAGTAAAGAAGGATAAGGGCATGTAAGACAGGGGAAAGAGATCACATGTGTTTCTAATATGAATGCCATGAGACATCAACTACAAGCCAGACATCTAGAAATAATACCACCTGTGATTAGGAATAATAATGATGATAATCATAACTAACACCGGTTGAGCCCTTACATGCCAACTAGTGTTTGTAGTTACATAAGCTAATCTGTCTAATCCTCACAACAATTCACTGAGGTGGATAACGTCACTCATCTTGCAGATGAGGAAACCGAGACTCAGAGGTTAACGTAGTTTCCCCAATGTCACACAGCTAGGAAGTGGCTGAACTAGGATTTGAAGACAGATATGCAGATTCAGAGTTCATGATTTTAAGCACTACAGTAAATTTTAAATAAGTAAGAGTCTTCTGGCTAAATGCTTTTTCAAGCAGTGCTTTGCTGTCTTTGCTGAGAGTCAAGATTTTATTATTTTCCATATTGCCAGTGGTAGGCTGCTCTTTTTTTTTTTTTTTTTTTTTTTGGTTGTGGGGCTCTCTCTTTTTTTTGGCCTCCCCCGTTGCGGGGCACGGGTTCGGGAAGAGCAGGCTCAGCGGCCATGGCTCACGGGCCCAGCCGCTCCGTGGCATGTGGGATCTTCCCGGAATGGGGCACGAACCCGTGTCCCCTGCATCGGCAGGTGGACCCTCAACCACTGCGCCACCAGGGAAGCCCAAGTAGGCTGCTCTTTTGATAAAGAAGGGTTGTGGGCCAAATCTGTCTTGTCTTCCCGAATGAGTTATTGTTTGCATATCTGTGTTCAGTCTGGGCTTAAAGGGTTTCCTTCTGCAAATAATAACCCTCTTGATGGGGACTAGAGCTAGACTCAAAGGGTGTGGAGAGTAGGAACTGTATCTAGTACCCTATGCTATGAGAGACATTCGTTGAGTTGAGGGAGAGGGTCCTAGAGGTCCCTTCAGCCTGAAGAGAGTGTGCAAGAGTTTTCCCCATGGGAACTAGGGACTTCACCTAGAAGTGTTCCCCAGGAGAAAAAAAAATGTCATTGACAAAAGGGGAAAGTTGCCTGGGCACTGTGGTGCCCCCGAGGATAGGTGAGGAGAAGGCATACGTGAGGATGCGTATGTTACTGCGTGGCAGTCTCTCAGGGCTCAGATGAGAGTGATCCACAGGCACAAACTCAGTTCTGCTCTCTCCGTCCTGCAGTCCAAAGCAGAACTCGGAGGTCTGCCTTCCCACATCCTCTTCCCCCATGCTGCTCACCACAGTTCTCCAAACACGTTCTCTGTTTCTACTCTTAAATCCCTTCCTCTTCTTCAAAAACCCCATATGTTTTATACCCCAGGCTTGGCCTGCAGTGGCCTAATAAATAATTTTAGGCCAATAACCCACAATTCCTGAAAGTACCATTTTTGCCATGGCGATCTGAATTTTAAATAAGGAAACCTGGACAGGGCAATGCTGGAAATTAAAAAAAAAAAATGTGGAAGAACAATTTTGGGTTGAGAGCTATTTTGGCCCCATCACAACAACGGGCAAATGACTTTCTTATATGCTGAAACTATTTTATCTTCCACCTTTTCCATCCTACTACGTTCTAATGTCTTTTAGAGCTGTGAACATTTCCCACGTGAGCAGGACAGAATTCTCCCTCCGTGACTTTTTTCTTCCTCCGTGAAGTCTTACCCTTTGCCAGTGTGAACCACTCCCTCTGACTCTGGCCTTCTTTATATTTATGGCTTTTATCGCAACATGACATGTATGATATTGAGTTGTATGTGGGCCAACTTCCCCAACTAGACTGTGAAGGCCTCTTGGATGGAAGCCATATCTTATCATCTTTGCAAAATTCACTTTTTTCCCTCCAATATTTATCGAGCATCTGTTATTCGCTTGGAACTGGTTTTGGTTTGCTGGGCATAAATAATACACTGGCCTCTCTCCTTAAAGCTGTTACAGACTGGGGGCAGAGAAGACAGATGTGCATATCATACTATTATCATAGAGTAAGATGATTCCTACACTAAAGGAATGTTCAAGAATGAGTGATAGACCAGAGGAGGGAATGATTAAATCTGCCTGGGGGAAAAGAGAATACATGAACATTAAGCAGCCATTCTGAGCCAAGTCTCACAACAACCTGTGAGTAGGTATAATTATCTTCATTTGATTGGGGGACAAGGAATCAGAGAAATTAAATAACTATCCAAGGACAAACCTTTAAAGTCATGGAGCCAGTGTTTTTATCCAACTCTGTTAGACTTTAAAGTTATGTTCTTTCCACTACAACATTTCACAAAGAAGGTGATATTAAAGTTAAATCTTAAAAAACATGTCTTTGGCATGTGGACAAAAGGGAAGAATATCGCAGGCAGAGAGAACATTCAGTGTGAATACACACAGGTGGGAAAATAACCAAATATATTTGGGAGCCTTAAGCCCAGGTAGGACTGGAAATGATGAAGGGCCAGTGCGTGAGATTCAAGTGATACAGGATGTGGCTGACTTGGTGGACAGTGTGCTAATTCTTGAACAGTCTTTGTTCTATGGTAATACATTTTGATTTTAATCTGTGGGTGATGGAGAGTCAGAGGATGATATAAAGCTAAAGCAAAGCCCTGATACAATTATATTTGCATTTAAAATGATAACTCTAATAGCAATATGAAGGACACATTAGAAACAAAAGAGGTGAAGCCAGAAAAGATTCTGCCTCTACTGATTTGCACCCTGGTCTTCCATGGGGCACCAATCACGTGGTATTTTATGTGAATGTTACCAACTAGAACTGTGAAATTGTCCCACTCCTCACCATAGGATTTCTTTCTCCCACACCTGGTCATGCGTTTCCATAATTGCATTTGAAATTCTTGTAATTTTTCAAACTTACATGTCTATCTTCTTTTAATAGATTGTGAGCTGCTTATGAGCAGAGAATAAGTCTCACTTCTCCATTCCCAGTATTTAGGCCAGGGTCTAGAACACAGTCGCCATAAAGACTTCTTGAATGAGTAAATGAATGAATAAAATACCACGGCAGTCTGGAAGAGTTGTAGTATCTTGAGTCAGATGTTCTTAAGCTCAAAAACTCAGCCATTTATTACTTGTGAGAACTTTAACAGATTACTTAATCTCATTGAAATGGTTTCCTCAACTCTGAAATAGAAATAATAATACCTAATTGTGGAATTGTCATGATAACTAGAAATAATGTAGGTAATGTGCTTATATAAGTTCCTAGCCCTAATAGCACTTAATAAGTGGTAGGTTTATTATTAGCTGTAGTCGATGATATCAGTACTGCCCATTTCCTTGGAACCCTACAATTAAATATACTCCAGCCAACTTCCAATTTTCAGTATCTGCATTTCTGTTTCACAAGTTTCTTTCTAGAACTTCGGGAGACACGCCAGAAGTGTTGGAACATTTATGATCAATGACTGACAGGAGCCAGTGTACAAATCCACAATTCTCTCACCCCTCCGGTGGGAGGTGTGTGCCCTGCATCAGTCCTTAGAGCCCCTTAAGGACTGAGCTCCCACAGAGGAAGCTGGTTCAGTAGCACAGTTAGAGGTTGCTTTTCTTCTGTTACTTCCTCCCTCTCTTGCTGATATTCCTTGCACCTCCCAGATAAACTATTTGCTTCTTAAATCCTTGTCGCAGGGTCTACTTTTTGGAAGATGGAGAGTTTTCTTTCCATATCCAATAAGTATTATGAAAGCAGTTGAAGTTTTTGCCTTTTGAAGAACTTTGAAAAAACTTTTAAAATGCCATTGTATCTGTGCAGAAATCTAACGAGATTTTTCTTTTTTTGAAAAAACTTTTAAGATGCCATTGTATCTGTGCAGAAGTCTAACGAGATTCTTCTTTTTTTATTACAATTACAACAAGGAATATAATCCATATTTTGCTGTCACATGGGTTAGTCATGGATCGCATCTCCGGTGGCTTGATTATTGGAAGTACCTCATGGTCCTGTTCTAATAGTCTTTGTGCTTAATAGCCCTGGAACATGGCCCACCAGGGAAGGATTATGGCATGTTTTCTGTTGTTCTGGGAAGAATTCCATACTTAGCCTATATCTTCCATGGGAAGGTATTGCATGGTAAAAATCAACCAGGACTTTATTCATGGAACCTCTTCTTTGTTTTTTCCTCTCCCTCCTCATGCTCTTCTCTCCTCCCGACAATCTTCCAGGTGTGGTTTCAGAACCGAAGAGCCAAATTCCGCAGGAATGAGAGAGCCATGCTGGCCAATAAAAACGCTTCCCTCCTCAAATCCTACTCAGGAGATGTGACTGCTGTGGAGCAGCCCATCGTACCTCGTCCTGCCCCAAGACCCACTGATTATCTCTCCTGGGGAACGGCCTCTCCGTACAGGTGAATGACTGGCCCACTCTCCCTTGCTCCGCTTCCACATGTTTCTCAGCGGTTGGTCATGTTTAAAGCTGCTTGTGCAGCTGGCTGACATTTCTTACTGGGTTAACCTCTTCAGAGACATTCAACTTGCTGACATCCCCAGATTTTCACAGGAGATTACTAGTTGCCCCAGGAGCAGGGTTTGGGGCAGAAGAGAGAGGGGCAGGCCATCAGCAATCTCCTCTTGGACTCAGGAACTCTTGCAAAGGTTTCAAAGATGGGGAAGAATCTCAAAGAAAAGATCATTAAGCTATGCCCAGAGTCCCTCTTGTAATCATTCTGGAACAAAACTTCACTCCATTTCCAAATCTGATAGATTGGTTTGATTATATGCAAGTAGGAATTTAACATGTAAGGCTCTAAGTGTAGGACCAAAGGCAAACTTCACAATAAAACTGATTTTGAATGAAAAGAAAAGAAGTAAGGAAGGGAAAAAAGAAGGAGAGAGACAAAGAAAGACAGAGAGAGAGAGAAGGGGAAAAAACCCAAGATCATTCAGATAACTTTCATGGCCATAGTTCTTTGTTAGTAGGTGGGGATGTCTTATGATCCAAGATGCCTTCCTGATCTATTGCTAATTCTTGTCTACTTATCTGAAGTTCTTTGAGGGGTTAGTTTGTGTGTGTTTTTTTTTTAAATATATAAAAACAATGTATAATTTACACTAAATTTTTATATTTAAAAGGTGAAAAATATTAAGGAAGCAAATAACAGAGTATTATTTCAATGGCTTGGAAAGGCTTTTAACCTCCATTGATTATGCTGTCCAGAAAATACAGATTAACGCCAGAGGGAAGCTGAGACACATGTGCCTAATGCACTGTCATCAGTCTAAAGTGTCTTTATTTGAACCTAAACCTGAGTATTCTTAGAAACCAGATCAAGGCTATGTGTTCTCTGGCTGATTGCAGTGGAGGAGGAAGTATTTACAAATTCATTTGTTATGCTTCTGTTTACCTTTTTATTGCTAAGGTTAATTAAAAGTTTAAAGAGAGGTTTTAAACTAATTATAAGATTATCTCCCAGTTGATGCTGAGCTACTGATGTGAAATGCAACATTAGTGAAATGCAAATACTTTCAAAAGTTGATCACTCTAATCAAAGCAAAAAACCTCAACTAAATATTCTCTCTGTTCCAAATCAGTTCCTTGAAAGAAACACCATAAATGGATTTGAAAATTTCTTTTAAATTCCCCATTGTGAAATTAGCCTGAATTGCTTTGGTCTTAGTACATGGAGACTCTATGCATAGGAAACTGGAAATTTCTATTGCTCTCAGACATAGTATGCTTTGTTGATTTCAAAAGATTAGTCATATCTGTGTGTCCTATTTAAAATTTAGACTCCTCTCCCATAGGATTTACTAAAAACATATTTTGAAGACCATCGTGAAATCATATATTCTTTAATATTTTAAATAAGTGGAAGACTGCTTTGTTTTTCAGATAAATATTGATAGTTCATAGACTCATTAAATGGCTTGGGAAATGGATGTGGATCAGAGCTTGATGTTTCAAGGTCTCTGGTTTGAATTTGGTCACAACCAGGAAGTTCAGCTCCTTTTTCTTCCTGGATCCTAGTGAGGAAGTTTTCATACCAGCTGTAATAACCCAGATGGCTGTCACGTGGTCCTTACCAGTGAGAGGCGGAGGGCAGTACACTGCATGAGTGGGGATGAAATCTTCCCTGAATTAATGGCTAGATTACCTGGACCTCAGCAGAAGTTCAAATCCTGTGCCTGCATTATACATACTATGTATATGGGCATCTAATTGAAATGATTATGCAATTTATGTGTGCTATTTGGGGAAGTGTTCTATTTTATTTTGAATGATTATGTAGAAATACTAGATACACTTTAAAAAAAACACTCATAATTCCACCATCTTGAGATAATTAGTGTTTATTTTTGCAATTAGAGTTCAGTATTTCATATAGTATAGACTTAGTATAAATACTATTTTGTATTCTGCTCCTTTCACTTAAAAATCATATAACCTAGTACTTCTTACTCGATTCATGGTATACTTTTATATCATTTCTCTCTTAGACACAGAGTTTGTAAAAAATAAGTAAAAATTTCATAGAATCTGATTGTTCATATTCTGTATGAAGAATTAATTAATCTCCAGATTTAAGTAGAAAAATGATGGTTTAAGCAATAGTAATGTTTTTTGACCCAATGTTGACTGAAGTGTTTATATTTTGATTAATTTCTAAAAGTGGCACAAAGCTATTTTGTTTCTTAGAGATTTTTCTGCTATGTTTAGAACCAAAAGACATTATGATTTCACATTTTGAAGCTTGGTAGGAAATATAAGTCTTGTTAAGGAAATATAAAAGAAAACCAAGTGATGAAAAGCAGAGGAAATGATAGACCTTTTGTGTTATGGAAAATTAACTTGCTATTTCTGTTGGTACTATTATGTCAAATTAGTTATCTCACATGTGACATTCATTAAAAGGCATTTCTCTTGGTTAATCCTTGGATGCACCTGTGTGGCAGCTCTGTCCTTGATCTGGTTCCAAAGAACAGACCCAACACTTGCCCAAGTTTAAGCCTTCAGCAAGCAGAATTAGAGCGAGGGCTCATGATCCCTGTTTCTGTCCAAAGTATTAGGCCACATAACCATATTTTCATTCAAATTAAATCTTACACGATATTGAAAATAGTAAATAGTATAAGACTAGGAGACTACGTAAACATGCCTGTTTGACTCAGGGTTTGTCTCAGATCTGTGAAGCATGCCTGCGACTGAGGTCCACCTTCTGGGGTGTGTGGGTAACCCCTGGGATGAGTGAGGCAGCTTGGTCATGCAACCCAGGGACAGCGGAGCAGACAGTTTTGCCAAAGAGGACAGTTTGCTCACTTCCACAGCAAACTGTGGAAGAAGACAGGAGGAAAGCAAGACTCAAAGAAGATAGCGTGCATATGGTCAGAATTATGGGATGGGAAACAGCCAACATATTTTTTTCTGGGCGTCTTTTATATCTAGAGTGGTGGCTGTATAATTTTATCATCCAAACTGGGACACTTTTGAAGTAAAAGGGGAGTGCTATTAATAATGACACTAGGACAACAGGCATAAACTGGGATTGTCCCTGGCAAACTGAGACTTATGGTTCACTCTATTTATAGCATGTCATGACCTCCTTCATACCCTCGAGGGTGTTAGAGGTGATGATATCAGGTAGGAAACTGAGTCACCAGAAGGAACAAAGCATTCCTTAACAGGACACTACTGTCCTGGCAGGTGTCTTCTTTATCTACCCCTAGACAGTTGAAAGAAGCTTGTCTTTGGCACACATGCTCACTGCTTAGCTAAGAACTGTTTCCTTATGCAAATGAAAGCACACACAAGCACTAGAGTTATTTAAGACTCATTAGCTTGTACTGCTTTGCCTTTCGGGTGGCAGTGATTTACCAAGTCCTGGACTTTTGACTGTTGTTTTAGATGAAGTAGTTAAGAAACCTTTCTGCAGAGACATCCCTTCCTATGAAAGATAGATAAAGAATGGCCTAGCTCTGCAGTGTTGGTCTGGAGTGCCATTTTCAGAGGGAGGGCTGAGCTTCAAAGAAAACTAATGACAAGTGAAAGAGAGGCCAGCGATCCTTATCCACAATTTCCCTCCCCCCACCTTCTCCTCCTCCCCTCATTTGATCGTGGTCACGGTGCTGCCTGACATCTGCTGAACGCATTTGGCTCATTTCTCCCTTTCACACTTTCAAAAATAGATCCTCGTCCCTCCCAAGATGTTGTTTACACGAGGGGCTTCATAACGGATTCTAACGGAAGACACTGAAAAGGTAACTTGTCAGAGGGGGAAGAGGGTGGCTGCTGGGGGTAGGGTTTAAATGGGAATTAAGTATATTCAAGAAAGTGGGGCTTAACAGTCCTAGAAATGAAAGCAGTGAGGTCCTCAAGTGGAGAACACCATTGGAAACCAAAACTGCAAGAAAATACGTCCATAGAGTTAAGGGTAGTCTGATAGCCTAGAGCAGGGCTCTGCAAAGATTACTGGGCGTATGAATCACCTGGAATCATGGTACGATGCAGAATGAGATTCAGTAAGTCTGGGGCAGGACCTGGGAAATGTACCTCTAACTTGCTCCCATGTGATGCCCATGCTGTTGACACTTGGTACATACTTTGAATAGTGAGATTTTAGAGGAGATGGGACAGAGGTCAGAAGAACTATGTTCTTGTCCTGGCTCTTGTTGTTCTTCAGGCCAGTTGGGTCGTGAATCTACGTAACCTTGTATCTAAGCTTGAGCTAGTAATAGTTTCCCTATTATATATCACACAGGGGCGTTTGGAACCTACGTTAAGCAATGTGCATTTCAAAAAGAGAAACAAAAATCATTGAGACAACAGAAAGATGCAAGTCTTCATATATAAAACATTTCTAGAAAGAAAAGTTTAAAATGGTGGAAGCATTACTGCACATGCAGTGCAAACTGAAGGCTTAGTAATGAAATATGGCCCAAATGTGTCCACTTTAAGAGCTAAATGTACGTTTAAAAAAATCAACTTCTGAGTTTTAAAAACAGAAGTTGGAAATGATTATTTAAATCATGAAAAGATCACTTCCAAAAGGATTTATCGGGTCTCTCTTTAAAAGTAAATTTTCCCTAGGAAAACTCATATTGAATTTTCTTAGATGAAGCAAGTATACCTCTGCTGTTCTTGCATTGACAAAAGAACAAACCAAAGAGATGATCTCCAACCTCTACACATCACAGACAGAGTCATGAAGACCTCAAGCTCTACAGCCTTTCGAAAAATCCCAAGCTGGGAAGCCTTAGGATCTCAGGAAGACACATAGACTGCTTGGGCTGACTGACAGATCTGTCTTTGGGGTGAAATTTTCCATAGCTTGTCATCATTTGTCCAAAAGGGCCAAATAGAAAACAAAGTTGGAGTTGAAAACTGAGTCAGGTAGTATTTTTCCCCCAGCTCTCCTCAATTGTTTCGTGATTTGTGGGATTTACACTCTGGGTGATTAGAAAGCAGAGGGGGAGACGGTCATAAGTTTCCTGGCTTTAAAACCATACCATGTATAGTATTTTCCATACTTCCTTGGTGTTTGGCAGTCATTTTAACACACTATCCCTCACGACAACCTCTCAAGGTAGGTTGAAATTATCAAAAATGATTTGTCCCCAGTGAAAACAGAACTCTAACCCTGCTGGTGGTTAGCATTCTGCTGTCTGTGGCTGGGCTCCAACTGTTAGGAATCTCCAAATAAGGAGAGGGAAAAATTTCAAGCTTACTTAAATGTGTCAGCTCTGTGCAAGTCCCAGAGCAGATTTGCTGAATCAACAGATAGGATACAAGTATTTCTTTTTCATCTCTAATTCCTCAATGCCCTGTACATGGCAATGTCGTTTCTTGGTCACAGACACAGAGAATTTTACATTCTTCAAAACTAAATAGAAATATTGCTTTGGCCAAACCCTATAAGCCCAGTCTTAGTACTCATCTCATGTCTGCATCCTGTTAGAGGAATAGGCAGAAGGCAAGACCAATGGGCAGGATCTCTACGTGTTGGAAAGCAGGCTCTTGGTGTTATCATGTGCTTAATAAATTACCTAGTTTCAACCTCATCTTTTTAGCCCAGGAAGCTTAATCCTGTTTAGGAAGGAGAGGTCATTTTACATGGTGCGAATGGCCCCATTAATTTGGTTGAAAACAGCTTATTAACCTCACTGGTTTCTGTCTTGTGAGAAAACATTTCAGGGTTCTCGTTCTTTTCCTAACACAGAGCTTTAGAAGTTTTGGTGACATGGAAAACAGGTGGTCATGAACAATCTTTCAGATTGACAGCCACTCAAGGCTCTCTTGCATCTGTTGTCACTTTTGGAAGTGGGTCCTCTCCATCATACTTCTAATGCCTTTTTAAAGCATGACTAAGCTGCACTTGGATTAATTTTGTCTTTTCTGACCTGTAACACGTCTTGCTTATTACTGGTATGTCAAAGGACTGGTCCCTACTTGCCTAAATGGTAGTTTTAGTTTAAGTTGAGAAACTAGATTTATGTCAAACTACTGGAGGGAAAACATACTCGTTTTCTTTAGTGTGTGCACACAATATCACTTTAGCCTCTACCTATAAAGTTATGTACTCTAAATGTTTGTTTAGAGGCTGTGAATTAAGATGGTCTCTGTTCTTTTATCCTATTTCTTATGGCTATGCGATGCTGAAATAAGTTAGACCGATTTTTGAAAGTTTATAGCTTTCCTAAACGTTTATAGAGTGAAAAGCTTATCACTTATCAAGTGTATAGGATATTGCAAAACTCATTCATTAATATCAACTGCTTTTTTATTCTCACATCCCTCTAACTTGAGAGCTACATATAAGTCATTGTCATGGTCTCACTAACACAGTGGTGTCCGTAGAACGGCACCACAGTACAATTAGACAAGGGTGCTGTTCTCAACTCTGCAAACACAGGTTGCTATTTAAGGAAAAATGTCTCAGTGAAAATCCAATCTCCTGTGTAAAATATAACTCTAATTTCATTAATTTGGTTTTGAGATGGGAAGTGGATCAACATTCATCTCATCTGGGATATTAACATCTGGCCTGCGTTAGAAAGTCTCAGTGTTTCCAAGATATGTGTTACCATACTAAGTCTTCAGACTAGAAAACCAGATGATACTAGCAGATTATGAAGTAACTGCAGCAAAATGGTTATATAATAGATAAAATTGAAATCGCAAATACAGTAGACATTTCTAGAAAACAGTAACAGCATCTTTAGTAAACTAATTCTCCATAGTTCTAATTCCCTTTGTCTGCTAAGGAAACTGGCCACACCTTTGATCATCACAAAAAGAGAGAATCTCTATTAAACAGGACTTTGCTTGTCCAGAATCTCAAAGGATGGAAAACATGTCCCCCAAGAAATTGGGCCAAATACATAAAAGCACAATACTCCATGACAATCTACAGTTTGCCATCAGAGAATATTTTTTTTTCTTTCGCTTTCTCATGAAGTTTTAGCCTCCTGTTTTCAGAAGCCATTTAATTTTATTCTCAGTACTTAAATAATACAGATAACTCAAAATCTCAGCTTCTCTCATATGCATTTAAAATTGTACTATATACCATCTTTAGGACTTAATTCTCTCACAGAAATCTGGCTGAGAAAGGCTGATTTGGTTGATGTCATAATCTATAACTTAGGTACATTTCCCAAATCCAATTATCTTTTTTCTTAGCTACTTAGATCTTTTATTTCTTTGAAATCTTAGATTTCAGTATATCCTAGAAATTTCTTGAGTATGGGATTTATGGATTTGCATATATTTCTGGTAGGGTCTTGAATGGAAGCATGTAATTCATACAGAACTTAAATGATAATATGTATATGGGTTTTGAAAATAAATGAGACTTCTTGGTATATTGTAACAAAGAAAAAAACTTGTCCCATTTTAACAGGTTGTTCTGATTATTTATCTCACTCCTAATTGAAACCTTCATGAATTGGGACTCTTTCTGTCTTTATCTTTTGGTAGACAGTAGTAGAAGTAATAGTCTATTCTGTAAGTCTAACCTGCACCAATATTTGTTCACTTTTTACTGTTAAAAGCTATATATGGTGGATTAAGAATATACAATCATCAGTCTTGCTTTTGTCATGTCCCTTTTGATTTTGCACATTCGATTAAGATAGCAAAATTAACGGGAAGGACTGGTTCCTTAAAATAAAAGCATGTTGGTAAAATATTTTTAGAAATCATTACTCACAGCAGGATGACAGAGATCACTGATACTGAGCAGGAATCAGTTTAATTATACAGTATCTAGATATTTTTCAGTTACTTATCTATTCATTAAATACTTTCTTGAATGCCAAATATGTGCTAGATATGGTGCTAGCTCTACCTGGGGACACGGTGGTGAACAAGGCAGATGTGGTATCTCATCTATGGGGCTTATAGTATGAGGAATTAAAATAAGTCCTAAAAGGAAAAGTACAGGGTGCTATAGATAAATCTAACTTTGTGTAGACAGTTAAGATCATGCACCCAGAAATGAGTAAGAGTGAAACACACAACAGTGAAATAGAAGAGTGTAGGGTTATTTTGGAACCCTTCTGAGTCTTCCCCCTGCCATAGGACACAACCACAGACACTCACACTCACACACATACCAGTGTTATAAGGGTCTTAAATTAAGGATCATATTTCTGGAAAGACCTAATTATACTTTTTAACCCAATTTTCCTGGGTTAATTGCTAGTAACTGAGCTGATATAGGCTATTGTGAGTCTTGACTATACGCCTTGACTGTAAATCTTGACTATGTGGTGTCCCAAATAAGTATTAATGATACAGTCTCTCTATTTGTAGAGTAGCTTTAGTTTTTTCTTTCTGGTCTGTCACTTGATCCCCAGAACCACAAACTCCTGTGTGGCTGACAAAATTGCATAGGAATGCAGGCACCAGAAGAGCACATGTCATTCCATTTATAAGTCTATCTCATTCCAGCCCTCAGTTGAAAGGTATTTTGCTAATCTTAGAAACAACTAGGAACATTTTCATTGAATTAAAATGAGTTCCCTTATAGCTGTTTAGTATCAAGTAATGGATAATTTGCATCCAAGTCTAAGAAACCTTTACTTTTCCTTTAAAAGAAATTCATGGATACAATTAACAGAAAACCACCAATTACAAATTTCTGCCCAGTGGTATTCCTAGGTCTTAATTACAGTCTCTGACAATGAAAAACAACTTTGGGTTTTTCTCAGCAATAAGAACAGTCAGAAACAGTTACCTCTGAGGTCAGGAATACTGAAACTGGAGCATTTGCTAGTTTATCTAAGAGATATAAACATTTCCAAAATAACTGACCCAAAAAACAGTGTAAGCTGCTCAAGTACTTTTGAATGTTATAAAATCAAGGCCAATTGGAGTGGAAACCTCTTGATTTGGCAGTGCTTGGTACTATCAACCAGTGGATCAACAAAGGCAGAGAAGTCATCTTAGATTATTTAACTGGTTCTCCAAGTACACTATTTAATATGGTATTCAGTGATTATCTAAAATATGTTAGGATTAATGTCAGCTACCTAGAATGAGGAATGAAAAATGCCCCTTAGTTTCTTTTCAAATGCCTCCTTCTCTTCCTCCTCACTCCCACAAGCTGGTGATGTAGGCAGGACAAGATTAAACACTGTTTTAACTGGTCAACTGATGAAACACCTGTTATCCACCATAAGCAGCTTTCTTCTCTCACCCCAGAAATAAATCATTACTCACTGTATCCAACACAGAAAATACTTTTCCCCTCGTCTTGTTCCACGCTCCACTGCTTTTCCCTGCCCTTCAAAACACTGCCACCCTTTTCCAAGGGCCTTAGACTAATGGAATCTGGGGCTGTAAGGGACCTCAGAGGTCATGTAGTCCAACCCACCTGCCCCTACCTGCCCCCATTCTGAGACTTGTACCCATCTGGGGCACAGACTTGCAGCTTTATGAAACTAATGCCTGTTATTCTCCCTGCTCTCTCCTTTGTCCCTACAGCGCCATGGCTACTTATTCTGCCACATGTGCCAACAATAGCCCTGCACAGGGCATCAACATGGCCAACAGCATTGCCAACCTGAGACTGAAGGCCAAGGAATATAGTTTACAGAGGAACCAGGTGCCAACAGTCAACTGAGGAAAAAAATAATTAAACAGGCCTAAGAAGAAATCAAATACCATAAGACACCTATCCTGCTCTGTCATTTCTACATCTGCTGGAAAAAAATAAAAACAAACAAACAAACACAGAAATAAACTATTGGGACCATGGCAGAGAAAAGCAGGAGAGGAGCAAAATGAAAATTAGTTAACAAATGTTCCTCCTCCCTCTGGGATACCACCACCACTTGTTTCTGTGTGTGTTAATTTTGTTTTTCCTTCTATTCATATGCTTTGCTTGATATACTCTGAGCTTCTTCAGTTAAGTTCAGCCCACCCACCCCCATGATTGTATGGGTTTTAAAAGAATCTACAGCAGCCAAAGAAACCATATATGTATATATATTCAGAATAATTGCCTATAGTCTCCTCATTGACCTGTTTGAACCTCAGTGTCTTACACTATCCTTCTTCCTAGTTCTCTGTACAGAAGCTCTAGGAACTTCTGAAAAGCCAAAGTCTTTCTGAAGAATCTGTGCCAGACATAATTCCCTTTCTCATTGTCTCTGTCTCTGTTGGTCATGGTAAGCTTGTTCCATCAGCTACTGGAAAGAAAAAGCAATTGTATACAACATCTGGTCACTGGCCTGTCTGATCCAGTGTGACTGGCTACGTCTGGCTAATTCTAAGCTCTAAGTTCTAGATCTAAGCTCTAGATTTAAGCTCTAAACTACAGAGGATAATATTACCATCACTACCACCCCTCACCCCTATCCAATCAATCAGCCATCCTAAGTTAAAGATATTTGTTGTTTCTTGAATGATTTGCTGTCATAGGCTATTTGATAGAAGATACATTTTTCACTTGAGAGAGGGAGAGACATTTCTCTAGGAAAACAAAGACTAAGTTGTTGTGAAAGGCATGGCCTATATCTCTTTGGTGCCTTAAGGGTAGTCATATGCACACTTATATATATACTGTATATATTTATATATTATATATATATAAAATATTCTTGCAAGCTTGAGTTTGCAGTTTCTCAAACACTACAAAGAGCAAATTTCACACCATCACCAGTGTCTTTATTTCTACTGTGATAAGACTTTTTATTAGGGATCTCATTTCCTTTCTTTCTCTACACAAAATTCTCATTATGGCCACAGAGCAATTGATAGGGCAGCTGTTTGAAAACAGGTCTAATTTTCACATTAGAGTTTTAAATAAATTAGAAACTATTTGAGGCTATGAAAATGTCCTTGAGTTTGGCACCTGAACTCTGGTGGAATGCTGATACATTCTGATCTATAACGGGAATTACACTTCTTTAGAAGAGGGAAAACCGTTTCGTCATCTGTCCTTTTTCCACTCAACAGAAATCTGAAAGATACGTCTTTAAGTGGAATACTTAAAGGTTTATCTAAATTCTAAAAATTTAAAAGGCAATTGTGGGCTATTTTTATCTTCTAATATATTGAAATAAAGTTTCGTGTCTAGGGCTGGGAGCCAGGACTGACCTTTTCTTTGTTTCTTTCTCTTTGTTTCCACCCGTGCTTTTGTAACTTGTCAGGTAAACTTGACCAAACCATGTTACCATTCTGTGCCTTGGTTTACCTTTTTTGTAAAATGGGTTTAACAATACTTACCTACCTCACAGGGGTGTTGTGAGGCTCTAATCATTTGCTTTTTCATTCTTTCCTGTATTCTCTGTATGTCCAGCGCTTTGTAGCCATGGGAGGAAAGGGAATATAAAAGTATACCATGTTAATAGAAGGCTGCTGTACCCAGAAGCCTTGTTTTCTAGCAAGGAAATGCTACCTTGCTGTAAATACTTATAACCTTGTATTTGGAAATGAGAAATAGGTTTATATTTGCAGACCTCTCAAAAAATCACATCATTTGACCAAAGAATAATTTAAGACACACAGAACAGACATATCTTTGACTTATGTTTTCATCCTGACCAACTTGGATTTCTAATAATTTTTATCAGTAATTTGAAAAGGTTTAGATTGATTTTGGCCAAATATGCCAACTCTGAGTGACAGGCAAGGATTTGGGATTTAAGATGCACTTTCAGTACAGATTTTTTATTTTCCCTGGCATATCAGATTAAGCTAATGGTGGTATTTTTTCAGTCAAACAGCCACCAATCTGAAAATGTATTTCCTATGTTGATTTTGAACTTCTTTTATTAAGAAGGAAGCCCATCTTATGCATTTTGCTTTCATCAGCTGATTCTCTCTTAACATACTATTAAAACATTTCTTACTGAATGGTTTATGTAGGCTGGCTGAACAACACACATTACTTGCTTCCTAAAGTATTCTTCAACTAATTCTTTTGTCCCACTAGTTGCTACAGATTATCAAGTTTCAAAGGAACAGCGTATCCTAACAGATTAAAACATTCTTTGTGAAATGAGTGCAGTCCAAGAAATTGGTGAACTTTTGGAGTTTGGAGAGAACAGCTGAAAGAGGATTTGGGTTATATAGTACAGGGAAGAGACATCATAGGTGAAAAGATTTTGCTAAAAAGGGGGAAATCTTAGAAGAGGGAGTAAAGAGATAGAGGATCATGTAAAACAAGGTCATTTGAAACTTGCATCCTGACATTCATTTCCAGTGGTGAAGAGAAAAGCCTGAACCCATAACCCCAGTGCTGGATGAAATTAGGCAATTTTACCCAACACCTGGGCAAGTGCTGTCCAGGAATATCATAGAGTAACCAATGCTGTCCGCCACAGGAGCTTTTATTGCTAGTGAATCAATACCACAGACACCTATTATGTAAGCATCTGATGGAGAAATGTACACAGGGTACAAGCACTCAATTTTGTCCATTCGTTATTGATTAAAAAAATAGAAGTTTGATATGTGATTTGGAGGAGTAGCCTTCTGGCTCCTAAACCAGGTGTCAACAGAGGGCCTCAGGGACACAAAATTCAAAGGCATATCCCTGTTCCTTACCATCTATACACAGATAACAGATGAATACATACAAACTGTCTGTGTCCCCAGTCCCCACCACCACCAAAACAAGGCGCTGATTTGTAGGGTACTTGGCAGTTTAAATCAAGCAGGAAGAAGTGACCGGATAAAAAAGGGAATGACATTTAGGGTATAAAGATCTCATAAGAAATGTAATATGTAAATTATATCTTGCTTTATGATGTAAAATATACATTGTTTGCGCTAGAATAGAAATGATTCCTTTTCAATAAAAAGAAAGAAGGATACTACTACGTCTGCTGAGTCTGCTGGTTCTTTTTGACCTTCAGAAACACCTGCTAAGATCTAAGATTGCACTCAGAAAAGAGTGAAGGTAAGAGGGATTTATGAACAAGAGAACTTTTATCAGAGTGTAATAATATTTTCTAAAAAAGGGAAATAATCTATTGTTCTCACAAACAAACACAAATGGTGGGAGAAAGAGGGGACTTTTTTTTAGTATAATGGATAAGTGTAAAGTGGATCTTTTAGGAGAGTTTTGCTATTTTTCATCCACATCTTTAGTATCCACAATAACAGATATCATTAGACAAAACAGATTTTTTATAAAGCACAGCCTTTTCTTTTAAAAGAAGTAACAAAGTAACATTTCTTAAGCACCTATTGTTATAGCATTGTGTGTGGTAACTGGTGGAGGCGTGACAGAAAAACTAAATAGGAATCGAGTTTTTTCATACAAACTGAAATCTGATTTAAAAGGCAACTACAGCATGAACAAATTTATGCAGTAGTTCAAGACAATAAATTAATGTTGTCAAAGAAATAGAGCAGATGGGAGTTCAGAAGAGGAAGCAAGAAAACACTGTGAACTGGAATGGGAGAGGGTTTCACGGAGGAACTGGGACTTGAGTTTCATCAGCAAGGATTTGGTCAGGAGAAGGGAAAGTGATGGCTTTCAGGTAGGGGGAATGGTATGCATAAGAAAGGATGAAGGTAGGGATACGGGAATGAGGAATTTGTTTCGGGAGCACGGCAAGATGGGCCTTGTGACCGCCTGGAGGGGTGGGATATGGAGGGTGGGAGGGAGACGCAAGAGGGAAGAGATATGGGAACATATGTATAACTGATTCACTTTGTTATAAAGCAGAAACTAACACACCATTGTAAAGCAATTATACCCCAATAAAGATGTTAAAAAAAAAAAAAAGATGGGTCTAGATGGGATGGAGAGTTTATTTTCAAGTCGAGTAGAAGAAAACAAGATTGAAGCTGAGTCTTCATCTTGCAAGGTATTATGTGTCAGACAAAGGAGTGTGGACTTTTCCTCAGACCATAGAGATTCATTGAAAATTATAAGGCAGGAAAAAAAAATGCCATGCAAAAAGTACTTCTTTAGCAGGATTGTTGTGGTAAAAGAATAAAGGTAAACTAGCGCAGAACAGAAACTGGAAGCAGAACAGAGAGAAGGGGAACAAAAAACAAAGGATGAATAGGAAATATCTTGCAAGGAAAGAATCAATAGGACTTTATGATGGGAGAAAGAGAATGGACAAATCAAAGACAACCCTGATTTGAAACCTGGGGACTAGGGGGATGAATCACTGACAAAACTGACAAAAATCAACAAAAATGGGAGAGACCCAATTACAGGAGAAGATAATTGCAGTTTTAGATGTATTATATTATTGTACCATTTGAAAACTGAAATGTAGGGACTTCCCTGGCAGTCCGGTGGTTAAGACTCCACACTTTCAATGCAGGGGGCATGGGTTTGGTCCCTACTCAGGGAACTAAGATCCCACATGCTGAGTGGCATGGACAAAAATACAAAACAAAAAACTGAAATATAAGTGTCCAGTAAGTGAAGAAGTAAGGCTTGGAACCAAGGTCAAGGATGATAGAAGTTTGGGATTCATCTTTAAGGAGGTGACACCTTGAGGTACAAGTGTGAATAAGTTCTTCGAGAAGAGAAAGTGTCATTGTGACTCAAATAAATATTTTAATAAGTGGCTTTTGGAAGTAGTTTAGCCCAGGGAGAAAGACAGGACTTTGAAGAACATCTCCAATTAGGGAGAGAGTTACTGAAAGCAATTTACAAGGAGCTTTTTGAGAAATAGGAGAGAGGTCAGCTTGTTTGCTATCCCAGAGTTAAGGAAAGAGAAGTTTTCAAAAAGAAGGGAATGCTTAATATACTCAAATGCTGTAGAGCAGACCAGCTAACTGGGGGTGGGGAAAAGGCCATTGGATTAGTGATTTTCTAGAGTACAGTGTACTAGAGTGCTGAAAGAAGAAGGTACATTTTGGCAAGTTATGGTAAGAAGAAGTGCTTTAAAAAATGGAAGCAGTGGCTATAGACCACTTGCTTGAGACTTTTGGCATTGAAAGTGTATTAATAAGGATCCTTTCAGTGGCAGGTGGCAGAAACCTATCGCACTAGTTCAAATTACAAAGAGCTTTACTTAAAGGACACTAGGGTTGCCCACTGAACCCGGAAAAATACTGCTGGAGCCAGAGTAGCCCTTGGGATCCCAGACACTGTAATGAGGCCCATACCCTTAGACCTGGCAAAGTCCACACACTCTGCCTTGGGTCTCACTAGCACTCCTCTGACTGTGCAAATAGTCTATGGGGCCAGATGGATGTGCCCACCTGGAATCTGCACCATTCATTGTAGACCATCCTTCAGGCACTTGGGATTTGGAATTTCCTGTCAGAATGATCTGGAACCTGCTTTCAGGGTTTCCATAGGCCTCTTTTCCTGGGACCACTGTTTTTGGGGGACGGGGTTTGTATGTTGTCCTAGGATATGTGTGCTGCAGTTGCCACCTGTGTGCGCATGTCTACTTTTGGTGTGGGATGGGGCTGAGGTGAGAAGGGAAGTGGGTAGGCCACAGGCGGGGGGCTAGGTCCTGGCCCTTCCCTACACTGCCATGCTCTGAAAGAAATTACAAAGCAAACAAGTCTGAGAATTCTGGATGTGAACCTGGCTTTTCTGGTCATTATGGAGGGATTCATTAATGGAGGAGAGTGGAACATAATTGTTTAGCGGTTTGTTAGCCTGATTTATAATATAAGTGTGTGGATGTAAATATGCGGACCTTCATTTGTACTCTTGCCTGGGTATGGCTCTAGCACCCCCATGGATGAGAGACCTGGCTTGGCTGCCTTTTGATTTAATTTCTGGAGACTCCATTAACTAGAAATCAGTGCCAGAAAGCTTTTTGAGTCATAAATTTTGAATCTGAACCCATCCTGACCCCACTTTTTTTTTCTCTTAGAAATAGGACTCAGAGTTCTATGCATCTGTAGGACTTCAGCTTGAAGGCTTCTTTCAAATCTTCCTTGGGACAGGGTCACAGGAGAGTTCTGAACAGAGCTAATCTGCCCCCTATCAACCAACATCCCAATTTATTGTGATTTACATGGGTTGGGGTTTGATACCTTACATCAGGTCTATGGGGAGAGAAAACAGCAGAGAGCTTTGAGAAAGGGCCGAGAAGGGAGATTTCAGTTATCGCTTTAGCTCCTCTTAAGCCCATGTACTTGCCACTGTGTTTCAAACTTCCTGACTTTGCTTAAAAAGGGGAAATTTCTGTTACAGTTCACAGAGTTTGCTATGGTCTGACCCTCGGGAGTCTTGGAGATCTGGCAATGGGTTGAGATCCTCCTGGTTGTACAGAATACCTCAGGTCATGTAGTTCTAGATTTGAGGGCCTCTAATAAATGACACTCCTCTTTTACTTACCCATTTCTATATTGTTAGGTACATTTCTGTTGCAAGTGGCAGAAACCCAACTGAAATTAGGTTGAGGCAGTTTAATTAGGGTGTTTATTAGATGGATGGGAGGTAGGCCAGAGGAAGAAAAGAGGAGCCATGAGAATCAGGGTAACTCTGAGAAGCTCAGCTACCAGAAGAGACTTGACATCACCAGAACCCTCTGTCTCTCATCTCTGCAGGCAAATTTTCTCCATGGAGTAAGGAAAGTGACTGCTGGCAGAGGCAGACTTACATCCCTTCAGCTTTAGCAGAAAGATCTGAGAAACCAGCTCCTGTTATAAATATCCTGGGAGAGGACTTTAATGTCCTGGCTTGGTTTATGCACACTCATGACGCAATCATTGTGCCCTGGGGGTGGAGGTGTACTGAGCCTCCAGACCAGGGGTGTCTGCCTTTTTCAGGCACCACTTGAGCATCAGTGCAACTCCTCTTGTCCTCACTTCTACCTCTAGTCACTACTGAAACACTCAGTCTCCAGCATATTTCCAGAGTCTTATAGACAGAACATAAACTAAGCCAATGTATAAATGCTCCCCACTTTCATTTTCAGGCATACAATTATTGGACATCAGTCCCCATAGCAGTGGTGGCCACCTTGATAATGGATCCTTGTTTTGGTTTCCTTTTTTCCTTTTTATTCCCTAAGCTCTTCAATCCTGCTACCTGGGATCATTTTCCAAATAAAATACCTGCATGTCAGCCATTACCTCTATCTGTGCTTTTTGCGGGGTGGGGTGGGGAGAGGGCTCTGACTAATACGAAGCTCTATTCTCTTTTGCTAGGGGCATCCTCCCAAAAACTATGTGGATTGAGTATTGGGGACCTGCTGTTACCAGATGAAAGAGAAGGAAATGAAATGTAGGCAGATAAAAATAACACAGGCAGGTTGTCCCGAGCAAGGAAGGAGAGAGAAACATTTTTGACTGTAAATTGCTTTCCATCTCAATTGGTATTAACTCTTTCTTCTCACTAATGTTGGCAAATGTTTGCTGCAAATACTTCAGTTAAAATCATACCAATTCCTTTCCTCATTCCTACTTGTAGAAGAGACAGCTAGCATTTCAACAAAGTCCATTTACCCTTCTTTCTGTGCACATGGGTAGGTCTCATTCCCCAGCATCCCTTGCAGTAAGGTGTGGTCTTGTGACTAATTTTCAGACAATGGAATGAGAGAAGTGGTATTTGACAACTTCAGTCCTGGCTCATAGCTCCCATCTATGCTTTCCTTTGCTCTTCTTCCCTCTGGCTGCCTGATATGACAGCCTCTGATCAACATTGGGAACCACATTTTAAGGATGGTAAAGCAACAGTCAACCTGGGACTTGGAAAAGTGACTTCAGGAAGCAACGGTGCAACTCTCGCTGACCTGGAAACATTCTGGAGTGTTATATGGTGGGGAAACAAAGTTTTGTTCTGTCAATCTATTACATGACAAGGTCTATTTGTTAACTGCAACTCAGCCCAACCTAATACCTCCTCCCCCTTTCTCCTCCCTTTCCATTCTTCCTTCCT